GGTGATTCAATGGGAAAAAACACAACAGAAGTAGCAGAACAAAGACTGACTTATAGCCTTGTCCTCATCTGCACTTAAATTTCCTCATCCTTGATCATCTCTCTCTCTTGTCCGGCAGCTGATCAGCCGAATCCCAACGTTGTCAGCCCTGTGCACACTCCACACTGAAGAGCTTCAGGCCTTCCAGCAACTCCACCCAGAAACAGTCAATGTCCTGTTTCCTCCACTCTACAAAGAACTCTTCAACCCAGACCCAAACTCTGCCATGGCCATGCCCAAGTGACTGCCTGTGGTCCACATGCAACAAATGACGCCAGCAGAGGACCAAGAAAGTAAGACAGCCGCATCCAACGAGACGAAAGCAGCTATGTCGACTACGTCATCATCGTGGCAACCACATATTTCCGAGCCCCCCCAGGCACATTTCAAGCTGGTGGGTGAGGAGTCATCTGCTAGCAGCTTAGAGTTCCCGACAACAATACTAGGAATGTCCAGCACTTATCCCATTCTGTTCACCGATACAGTCTGAAGAATGTATATACAAATGAAACATGCCCCAGGCCACAACCTGAGCGGGGCTTCCACCTTTCTCCTGAACTGAACTGACTGACCAGTAATGTACAGACTTTAAAATATCTAGGAACAATTTTAAGCTGTCAATCTTTAAACAAAAAAAAAGAAAAAGAAATTGGTAAGTTAAAATGATTTAACTTTGAAAAAATCATTTGAATTATTTTCCATGTGAAGATGGTGAAGCTGGATGGGGGAGGGAACTGTGGATTTAGAGAAGCTATTGTAGATATTCTTCTAGTGGAGAGCGGATTCCAGTATTACTTCTTGTTCTGTTAAAATAAGTTAGTCTTAATTTAAATATACAGCAGTCCACTGTGGCTGACTATACCGTGTCTACGTGTTTTTATTTTATTTGATAGTTTCTTGTGTACAGAATTTGTAAAGTTGAGACTTGTAAAACAACACTGGCTAAAAACCGGGATTCAATTTGGGTTTGTTGATATATAGAAGCCTTGTCTGGATTTTGTTCATATGTAAAGAAGGTACTACATCCTTCTGAACCTATAGTAATGTAAAGAGAGCATATGAAGGATTTAAAAAAATAATAATGGCTACTGCTACTTTTCAAGCTGGAGATATATACAGAAATATTCTATTTTGCAAGAAAAAGAATCTGGCAGATTTGCCATCTTATCAATCGTTTATTTCTCGCTGCAATAATTACGTCCAATAAAAGCTGGACTGCTTTCGAACAATCAGCCACACACAGCTAATCAGAGACTAGGACCTTGCAATGAACCCCAAATCTCTTCCCAAATTCCCCATGCACCCAGACCTTTATCTCTCATGTATTAGGACCTGTCCGTAAAATTCTGGCAGATATAAGTGGATAGAAATCACGGTGAAGGCGTGTATAGCTGTCCACCAAAATAAAGGCAACGAAAAATGAAACAAACCTGAATTGGATTCACAAATTTCCAGTCACTCAAACATGTATGAGTACTGTATGCCTCATCCCTACAATCACTATTTGCACAATCATTACAGTCCATGGGTGACAAAGACCCTGTGGGCTGTAAATATGTAGGACCCTTTGTCTAAAGAGCAATAATTTTCACACTGCCTTTCTGATCTTATTCCTTTCCTCCTCTTCATGCTTTCAGTTGTTCAGATCAAGGTAGCCGTTTTAACTAAAATGCACTATATTTCACTTAATGGTTATGCCTAACAGTCATTTCCATCAGCGGTACTCATTCCACCACCACAGACTCTGCAGTGTTTTCAGTAAAGAGAGCATTGACTTAGAGTTATAAATTAGTCCAGAATAGAATACCATTTAAAGCTGCAATATGGCATTAACAATTTGAAAAAAGGAAAGTGTGATAGACAATCAATTTTTGCTTTTTATGTAGTCATTCCATAATTTTTAGCACTTACATTTTGTCTTAGTTTCTATGTTTTGTTGTTTGTTGGCCACTTTTTAAAAATCACATTGGCTCCACTGGGTATTTATCCAGGCATGTTGTAATTGGTCTTTTCTGGTGAAGGAATAATTTGAAATCTCATTGCGTAGACATGTTTCAGTGGTTTCTACACACTAGAACTAGAAGATGCTCTGTGAATCTCTCCTGTAAAGTTATAAGTGCTGTGAAATCTCAGCAGCGCGGCTAAAGAGCTCTCTTTCAAAATGAGCCCAAAAAAGAGACACTTGACAGAACATTAGCGCATGATGATGATACTTTCATTACCTGAAGACATGTTGGACTGACTAGCGACTAAAAATCGCACTTTTACCTCAGTTTTGAATGCTATGAATAATGGACTCTGATCTAGTGTTATTTAGGCAATTTTAAAACATTAAGCTTTTCTGATTTTTGCAAATGCACAGCGGCCAAATCTTTGACTTTCCATCAAAGTTATGTACCCCTTAAGCCCGCTGGTATGCCTAACATTTATTATCCTTCCATCTTTTTTTTCCCCACGTGGAGAACAACAATGAGGGAGCAAGTACCAATGTTAACGTTAGAAAATCAGCTTATACTGATCTGTTCCACGCTGCATCTATGTAAAGGTTCCCCAAAAGTCCAGCATCTTTCCTCCGACCCCTGACCCGACCACAGATCATAGGCCAGTGACTCTTTAAAAGACAATCACTTGCTCATTAAGGCTTGATGCACTACAAAGCATCTCTCAGGGAGCAGCTCTTTTTCAGATTTTGCATTAAGAGGGTTTAATATTTTTGCAAATTTACAAAAAAAAAGATTAATTATAAAAGAATAACTTTTTAGGATTAAAAAAAAAGGCATACGCCACCAGTGTATGCCAGAAATGAAATCTGCCCAGACAAGGCTTTGACAGATGTATGTCTGTGTGTATGTGTGTGTACAGAGCATGAATTCACTGTCCAAATATCTTTAGACTCCAGATTATATAGCAAAAATCATAATAACATAGCACTAAAAAAACAACAACTTGTATATCAGTGTGCTCTTTTCACCACTGTACGCTCATGTTTACTGATTCTTTTTGCTGCTTTTGGGACAGTGAGGGAAGTCCAGTAGTAAGCTGTGACACAAGCGCCATCACAACACCGCAGGGACAGTGAATTCCAACTCTGACTATGAAGTTTTTGTGTGTGACGTTTTTATTATCCCTTGTTAGACTGTGAATCAGAGGGCTGGGATGGGGCTGTAAGGGGAGGTGGGGTGGGGATGTGCCGGCAAGAACGAGTGGCAACGCAACACTGTAAGTAAGATACTGTAGCAATAAGAAGTGGAGGCATTTACTACTGTCATGTTTGCATTGTAAGATTATTTTTTATTTTATTACTATTTACTATTATTATTGTTCTTATTATGACTACTATTCTTCTATTACTATTAGCCTATTGTTGTTCTGTTCTATTTGCATGATGTTTCAGAGCAATGAAACATTTGGGGCTTATTGTGTTTTCTCTTCTCATGATAATGTGGGTTTCGTGGGAGAGGATTTTTTCTTTTGTTTTGGTTTTTTTTGGCAGGGTGGGGAATGGGTTGTGGGCAAATTCCACATCAATTTAGTCGGTTCAAAGCAATTTTTTCACATACTGAAAGGATTTTTAAATAAATGCTCTAATTTATACGTGACCAATTTTAATTTGTTGCTGGATTTGAAATGTTTTGGGGAGTTTTTTGTTCTCAACCTCTGAATGTGTGCGTTGAACGGCCCTTTCTGAACTGGCCTTACTGAATCGGATAACCCTTGAACCTGCTGTGGGAGAATAATCGATTCTGAATGTTATGGAGTAGTTTGTTCAGTGTGAGGGGCTGAACGCATCATGCGCCTTTACCACTCCATCAACACAGAATGACATCACGGAGCGCACAAACGAGCAGTCGTCGGCTCTTCGACGTGACTCGGACAAATTGCGCAGACAATTTTTTAAAACATGCTGAGTTTGAAATGTTTCCTACACTTAGTCGAACACAATCCAAACCTTCTTCTCCCTTTCCTGAGAAAAAGCTGTGTGCGCGTGAATGTGTGCGTGTGAGGAAGAAAACGAGATGTGAGATGACGTTCTGCTCTACCAATGCTTTGTAAACTTTCTTGATGCATTACACATTTGTGCAATTGGAGTAGTGTTGAAAATTTGTTAATTTATTGTTTAGAATGTCTTTGCATCCCAGCAAGAGCAAATAAAACAAAATGTAGCAATCTGTAACCAAAACCTAAAAGGTACTTAGGCTACAGAACCTCTTTTACACAGGACTAACAAAACAACAACAACAAGGACAAAAACAGAAAAAATACAAAAAAAAAGAGACATTTGTTTGTTTTCAAAGTGCCATAGCTAGTGAGGAGTGGAAGGATTGGCAGAGTGGGGCGTAGATGCTTTACGGTGTGAGTTTACTTGAGAAACCAATCAAAAAAGGGGAACTCTGAGGAAAAACCTGTATGTGATTACGCTGATGAACCGTTTTTACATTTTATGCTTTTTCATTTGGTGAGGACTCTGCTTGACTCTGAACTCTGACTCTGCCATAAATCCACGAGCTCTACTGTCCAACGCTTCATTTTCAGACGAGAACGAAAGAGTGACTGTGTGTGTAAAAGCATGCATCTGCAATAAAGTGAGTCACGCCCATAAACGATGGATCAGACTGGGTCGAAGTTCAGAGCCATGCAGGGGCCTTAGTGAGTTCTCCTTTGAGATGTATATACAATGTGAAGGTCTGAAGTGATTTTTTTTTGTTAAATTCTATATTTTATCGCTTTTGTAGACATTTTGTTGTGGGAAGAAAAAAAATAAAAAGAAATTTTATGGGTGAGATTCTGCTTCATTTTTCTAACTCACATACAAATCATAATATTATATATCAGATTAATCCATAATGTCTCCTGAGAAAATACAGCTATTAGTTATATACTGAACTAAAAATAGTACAAAAACTGCATTTTATTTTACATTTTTTTCTATCACGAATTATCACATACAGTTAAATAACAAGTTATATTTTTATCTTTTTATATAAAGTTTTCTGATTACCGCTTTTCCTTCATTAACCCTGAAAATCTATAAACATCCTTAGTGCAAAATCTTTGGTATTATCAAGGATCTTTTGTGAAGAGGCAGAACTTGTGTTTACGAAAGACACCTATAAAAGTTCCCATGCTTTCTTTTCCCTACTTCCTGAGTCAAAGGTCACTTCCTGGTTTCATCGTCTTCTTGCTCTTCTGTCCCCGACGTTGGCTCCGCATCAGTGCTGTTCTCGCAGCTGTCCGGATGGTTTCTTAAATCTGAACAACAGAAACATCAGTTAGCGACATGTCGCTCCAATAACACAGTCATTACCACAAGAAAGAGAATACTGACAGGCCTGGGAGGAAATCCACGCATCCAGCATAAATAATTTGGTTTGATTTGTTGGTGAAATCTTGGAGAGGACACAAGAAGAGGAAGAGGAAACACAACGTACCTTTGAAATATCAAAACAACTGTGTCTGAGTGTTTGCGTGTTTGTTTGCTGGGCTTGTTTGTTTGTGAGTACAGTTTCTTTCCGCGCAGTTATCCTCTAGATGCCGGTATCATGTCTACCCAGAGACGTTAATTAATAGCTAATCAAAGCTAATGTCTCAGCAGCACATCGCCAGCACAAAGACATGATTAATACATAATCAAAGGCCGCTCAGCACAAAGACGGGCCCTCCCTCATGCCTCAAACACTACTGTTGTTATAGAAATAAACGAACACTCGCAGCTTAATTAGCTGGCTGTTCGTGTGTGCCGTCTTTATTTGAAGTTGCTGGGGATTTCTCTCTGAGCCAAGCTGGCCTCCTGAGTGACGACACCGAGGTGACATACAAAGGCATGTATGCACACATGTGCAAAAACAGGTACATACAATGAAATGCTAATCCACATGTCACACACTGGATCAGAAAAAAAACAGTAGACAAGGTTTTGTATGTTTCTGACCTTTTAGACCTAGTCTGTGGCACCAGGCGCTGCAAGAGTGTTTCTGCAGGAAACCATTGATGCCAGCGTCTCCAAGATTATCAGGTCCAAAAAGCATCTCACCCCTGCTAACACTGCAACAGAGTCAGTCAGAGTGCAGACTTTCATCAGTACATATGGGATAAAATGTGAATTTCTAAAATCAGAGAATATAAATATCACTTATACGCATAGCAGAAATGGTTACTGCACCTCTGGTCCTCTGCCATAATGACTGTCGGATCAGTCAGCTCCTCTCCCACTCCTGTCAAAAGGAATAAGGGAACAGATTTAAAAAAAAAGACTCAACATCTCACATGTGCAACTACAAACATGCAAAGTAAAGTAAAAGTATCTGCCTTGTATGTCGAGCACCAGCAGCTCTCTGCGTGAGTACTCGTAGGTCCAGTGGGAAAAGGCTAGAAGCATTTCTTCCAGTGAACAGCAGGGGGTGATCTCTTCTCCCGTGTTGTTGTTGTATTTCATGAAGTCACCAGACATATTCCTTTCAATCGTCAGCCACTGACCATTAGAATGCCAGAGGACCAGTGATACGTCAAGAAATCTGGTGGATAGAAGGGGCAGTTATTAAATGCACGGACACACCTAACACACACACATAGGAAAGATAAAATAGTGACCTTGGTGAGTGGTGCAAATCATCAGGTTTGACTTGGTTAAACACTTGCATCATCTTCTGGGCCGCTCTCTGCTGCTGTATCTCCTTCACAAACAAAAATTGATCATAGTGTTAGAAGTACTTGAAACTCAATTCAAAACTGTGAAAAGTAAAAGATTTGCTAACCAGCAAATGTAGACGAATCCTTGATTACTTGAAAGATTTACCCTTAAACAAAGCTGCAGTGCTGTGCTACCATGGAAGTACTTCTTACAGACACGAACCACCTCTGGTCTGAAACCTTTCACCACGTATACCAGCCCGGGTCTGAGCACATCCTGTTCTGCCCATGTACAGAGAACCCGGCGGCCCTGCCGGAGGCCCCCATCCAAAGAGCCTTCTTCGCTCAAGAGGGGCTGCAGGATTGCAGACAGGCCTCGTGATGACCAGGAAGAGACTGAGCTGGATTCAGGGTCAGCATCAGAGGCTACTTCCTCCAGAGAGTAAACGCTCACCTCTTCACCTCCTACAGAGAATGTTCAAAAACTTGATTAAGTGCACAGAAATGGATTTTGGGGGTAAAACAACAGTAATGAAAAAAATAAATAAATCCTAAATCAAACAAGCAAGTTACCCATGATTGAGACAGGAGTGAAAGGGATGGTCTGAGCCAGTCTCATCAAATTGTTTCTCTCCACAGCTGTTAACACACAGGCACGATACAGGCAAAACTACAGATGAGCTAATGTACGAGAAATCACAAAAACAATAGATGCACAATAGATGATCCTTTCAGGATCTATTATTTAATTTAGATAATTTTCTGCAGATCGTGTAAATACCTGAGTAGTGTGGATACAAACTGTCAGTGGACTGGAATGAGGAGTTCTTGGCTGCAGCAGGTAAGATTACAGGGCATTAAAAAACAAAACAAATACATCTCACTATAACAGACACTACATGACCACATGTTACAGAAAATGTATTCAATCTGTACGTCCAGAAATACCTTCAGCTGAAATGCCACTCTGTATTCTGCAACAGGCATCAAGAAAACATTGTTACGTTTAAGTAAAAAGTTTCGATAAATTCAGGGTAAATCTGGAAGGCTAAAAAAGAAAGGAGACTTACGAAGACCTGCGACTCATGGACCTGGCCCAGCTGTTCCAAGCTGAGTGCGTGGGGCTCCATACATCCTACCAGTAATCAAAGCAAGAACACTGACATATTTTACACTAATTATTTTAGCATTACTATCGCTAATGTTACCACAAATTACAAAATATTGTTACCACACTTTACCACATCTTTACCTGATGCGAAAAGACCTGTTTCTGCAGCAAATCCAGTTGTTCAAAATCTGAAAAAATATTGATATTAACAGTTTTTAAGTAAAACATAAGAAACTTCAAGTGGTTGATAATTTAAACATCGCACATACACATATCAAACTTTGTTTCTTTTAATATGAAAAAACAACCCTTGTCGTTCTTCTCGTTCTACTGTACATACATACAGAGGAAGCAGAGTGATGCATACTAGCAGATGCTCTCTGAAAGCTCTGGGTACAAATACAACATGTACTCTATCTAAATGCAGGTCTTACTGAGCTGACTGAGGCTGGTTGAAGCCGACCGACTTGTGGGTTCTCCTATCAACCTCCGGCGCCTTCCCCAGCTGACATCAGACAACTGGGAATGCATGGCTCTCTATTTTCCAAAACAAATAAAGAGATGGAAAAGCTTCTCTGTAAAGAACCACCAAACGAAAATGAAAAACCCATTCACAAAGATAGCAGGGATTTAGTTTTATGACTTTGTGCCATGTTTTGCACCTGACTGATCCTCTGCTATGAGGAGCACAACTTTTTTCATATTACCAAATCTAGATTGCTCTCTCGTATCTTCACGGTCTTTTTGTTTTTGCCTTTGCTGTCCAAGACCTGAGTAAAGTCAGATGATTTGGACCACTCTGCAGAAACACAGACGTACATTATCTGTTATTGTGTGTAAATGCATGATAAAAAAAATAGACAAGGTACACACAGATTTTCAAAATTTCCTTTTGATCATTTTCATCAGGGGCAAGATACAGAGAAAATGACTGCTTATGACCTGAATGACCCTTAAAGTTCTTTTATGACATTGTTGGTTCTGACTTGCAAAATTGTTAAGATTTGCATGTGCTACATATCACAAAGCTCTTCATGCAAACTCATTGCTTTAAACCATCAGAGTCCAAAGATTAACTTGATTTTCAAACCCATGCGTTATCATACCTTGGCTCCTGCTGCATCTTAGTGATGTATTGTTCTTTAAACCCCTCCTACCAAGCAAACTCTCATTGTTCATTGATTCATTGAGAGAAGGAAAGGATCCCCTGGTTGGGCTGAGGGGTGCTCCAGCGAAAGTCATATTCTCCATGCTGGATGACAAAGATCTGCAGTAGCCATACGGACGGTCCCTCGACAAACATGCCCACCTTGGGGATTTTATGGGTTTTCTCCACTGGTTGGAATTTCTGGACCGAGAAGTTGGCTGACTATCATCACAAGAAAAGGCAGGATTTGTCAAACCCTCTGAGATGTCTTCTGGGTCGAACAGAAAAGCACTGCTGGAGGCTCGGTGCACGTCTATGTTAGGTGGTTCTTCCTGTGTGTTTTCCTCCTCTTTCTCTTCTCCTTCTTCCTCTACTTCATCCTCCTCTTCCATGGATGTTTCTTCCTGACTGGTAAACAAATATGGCTCACAAGTCCAGAATTTAAAATGGAGTGACTCCAAGCCTCTGGGAGAAAGAGGAGACCCACACTGGGATGGTTCACAGGACTCACAGGGTGTCTGATCTCTGACCGAAGAAAATCCTCCACTGTTAAAGTGGGAGAGGGACGCACAAGACCCTGGGTCAGAAGCTCCCTGCTGATTCTCACATGGATGATCCTATGGGAAAAAAATAAGTGATTATCAAAGTATTTTAAATTCTTTAAGTCAGTGGTTATTTACTTTTAATGTCATAAAGCTGTGAAGAGATTACATCACATTAAAATAAGGACTTTATGGATACTTTATGGATCTCTTTTAGCTTGTCTCCCCCTAAAGGCCATGTTCAGGTTTGCAACAACTACCTCTCCTTTCAAAGAGTCTAACATGACAAACGTTTAAGGATCAAAACATTGTATTTAGTGTGAGGGAGTAGTGCATTCTCTTTCCTTCTTGTGAAACAACATTACTAGAAGACAACAGTAAGCACCTCTCTTGCCCTTTCTTCTGGTTCTTCTGTGTGTCCATATCTTCCTCCCCTGCTTCCCCTAACTCCTACATGGCACTCCTGTGATTCCCGTCTATTTCCTGCTAAGGTGTAGCCCTTTAGCAATGAAGGCGGGGTACTTTTATACGGCTTGGCCACCAATCGTTGTATATTAGCCGCATCACCGTCTGCTCCACTTCTGTGTGGAAGGGTCCAGCTGTGAGGGATGGCGTGCTGGGATGCTGTAATGAGCCGACACTGAGCCAGGCGTGTCTCCTCCTGATGTAGGTTGTTGGATGCAGAAAGAAGAGTGAGGGTGTCCACAGCCAGAGCAGAGAGGTCCTGGAGATGACCGAGCTGAGAGTCTAAGTCTGACAGGCTATCCTGAATGAAGTTGACCTTCTCTGAAACCTCCCCCACCATCATGCACATCTCTTCTGTTCTGATGGAACAAATATGAGCAAAAATGGTGAATGACGTTTTTACGATTTATTTACTGACGTTAAATGCTTTTTGTACACTAAACACAGCCACATGTTCAGCTGTAAATTCACAAAAAGCAAAGGAAGCCTGTGTTAGTAGGATCACAATACAAGCACAAGCTATATATAAGCTGGTATGTGAGACAAAGTAAATAAACATTTAAGAATCTACCTACTTACTTGTTTGTAAGAAGGAGCATTGGAGGCACATTAAAAAAGTACTTTGAAACACGGAGATTAAAGTTATCGTTTCAAGTCAAACAACTGCTACGGCTGCTAAACCCTCTACATAATGTCTTGTGTAGATGAGTTAGTGAAATCATACTTCAGAGTTGGTTTTAGTAACAAGGAAATTATTTATTTTTAAATACATAAACACGGTGTGGTGATAAGCACAGAAATGCAGTTTTAACGCAGAAAGCTGCATCTGGTCAGAAGGAAAAACCAGATTTTAACCCCCGATTTATGCAAAAATGAAACAGCTGGCAATGACAGATGCAAGAAAATCAATGGTTACACCCTTGTGCAGTAAAGAGGGTTTATGTTGTATCACAAGACATGATATGAAAACTGATCAAGGTATTTCAGTAACTCTTCTACACAAGGCAATTTGCAATGTTTGCAATGGGTACAGCAGCCATCGCAGTTGTTTGACTTAAAATGACGACTTTAATCTCCACATATTCTCAAAATAATAATAAGTTTAATCTCAAAAGTTTGGCTTTATTGTGAAAATGAACAATAATCTTTTATCTTAATGCGCCTCTAATACTTCATTTAAATCTAGTTACATGAGTTAACTGCTTTCATCTTGGCACAGTATGTATACCTCATTATTTATTATACTTATCAAACTTATCAATATTAAACTTAACAATGTGATGACAGACAGAGCGATTGTTCGTGTTATAGAAGAAATAATCTATTGGCTCTTGCATCGGACACAAAAGGAACTCTACATCAAAGCAATGATCCTGTGCATGGCTCCCAAACAAGACAAATTTACAAGGCTACAAAGTTTCCAGCCATAGTGATATGGCAGGTTGGAGAGCGAGACACAGATCCAGCAGAAACACACAAGCGCTGGTAGCTCATCTTAAATAATCGAACAAAACAAAAGAAATGAGAAGCCCCTTGTTTGCAGTCCTACCTCTCAGCTGTGACTTTGATCCTGTTCTTTTGACTGCTGAGCGGGCATTCACTCTTCTCGTGAAAATAGGCCTGCACACATCTCTCCTCAAACTCATGCAGCTTCTTGCGATCCTCGTGGCCCAGATAGAGCTCTAGTAAAAACAAGTGAGATGGAAGAAGTGACAAGTGTAGAGATAGCTGCTAAACTATCACCATTTTCTTCCTTTCCAGAAAATATGCTGTGGTACTTACTAAGTCCAGAGGCTCTCTCTTCCCGCTCAGCGTCGCCACTAAATTTCTTGTAAATAGCTCTCAAACCCAGGTCCATGTGACTGAGGAGGTTTAGGGGCGGTGGCAGCCACGGTCTCACTTGATAGGTCATAATGTAGCGGTACCGGTTGTACTTCCACAGCTTGTTGGATGTTGATGCCATGTCAAAGTAGACGTTGCTGTTAACAAGAGTTTGGTTTATTGAAGGGTAGCCCCTCAAACAATTACTATAAACTAAGATTTTTCAATATGCTTACTTGAAAAATGCGATGAGGATGTTGACCATGATGATATACTGGACAAACATATACACAGCCTGGAGAAATGGTGCAAGAAAGGATGCAGGAGGACATGAATCATCTTCCTGACATGCTGTTGACACACAAAAATACGCAGATCTTACACACAGTGCAATAGTTTTTTGTTTGTTTTTTTATTCTTATTCATCATACAAAAACTGTCAGAGACTTGGTATGAATCTCCTTCTGCATCATGAATGCTAAATTAGAACCAGATTCATATAAAACTCTACAGGGACAAGAAAAGGGCACAGAGTCTTCCAACATATGGTACAGCCGACACAGAGCTCAGATTTTAACATCACTCAGTTGGTCTGAGACATCAGAAGCAACCGAGATTGCCTAAATCCACGCTGGAGCAGAGTACATTAAAAAAATCTTAAAGTAAGAGAATTGGCACTGTTTACAGGGTAAAGTGTGACAGACCTTGCACTGATTTGTTTGCTGCTCTTCTTATAGAAGACACAGACATAGCTCTTTGGAAGTGTCCAAACTTTATTTTTTGAACAATCTAAGTTACACCTTCAACTAAAAGCAGCAAAAGGACCTACATGTACTGTAACTCCCTTAGTCATTTATACCAATTACATTTTAAGTGATTTTGTTATTTGCAGTATATTTTTTATGCACGAAGAATCAGCCCCTGTAATAAGTGAAGTTGTCTAAATTCTGAAACAAAGAACTCCTTTCAGCTGCAGTCAATAACAAGCACTGCAATACAAAGGTGAGTCAAGCAAAGCTCACCTTGTGAGGTAAGACTGTTTGAATGACCTTAATTCAAGTGGAATAGGATAAGTGACGAATTAGCCTTGCAGCAATCTTCGAGTCAGTATTTCCAAGAACTCAGGGCAATGCAAAAATCATAAAGGTTAAATTCTACTGCTTAAAAAAAAAACCCTTTGGTTAATAAGTATCTAGTGTTATTGGGCCACTAACGGTCTATCTCTGATGCATAGACCTCTCCATAGATCATCCAGTAGGGCTGGAAGACTATGTCTCGAGCCAGGCTCCATGATGGCTCCTCGTCTGGTGACAGGACAGCCTTCCTGGATACTCCGTAGGTCAACAGCACTATTGCCATCATCACCACAATGTAAAACATGTTTCTGGTCTGGGCACAGAGAGAGTGAGAGGTTACTAAAAAATAAATAAATAAATAAATAAATAACACACACACACACACACACTTCTCAACTTTTTATGTTTCCAGTGAGTGCTGTGCAGTCTGTACACACCATCTTAGTGATCATGGTGAGGTAAGGGCCAGCATGCTGATTAACGGCCAGCAGATCCATCACCCTGATAAACCAGAAGATTATGTCCAGGCAGTATGTGAGGCGCCCTGCTGTCCGGTAGGGATCAGAGTGCCAACGCATTGCCAGTCCGGCCACGAAAAGCAGGATGGCGATGAAATCTGATATGTTCCAGTATTCTGAGAACCAAATCTTCAGCTTCTGGCTCAGTTTTGTTGCCTCAGACATTAATATCTAATTACAAAAGATAGAAACTTACATTACTACTGACTTGTGATTTTATATTCTCCTGTAACACTTTTTAATATATTCTGCTAAGAACTGAACCTCTGACCTCTCTGGTTTTCTCTGCTGCAGTTGACAAGATGTATGCTATAACCAGCCACTCCTGAACACTGGGTTGATCCTCCATCTTCACCAGGACAACATAGGAGAATAACATCAGAAAGGCCAAGTAGGACATCTACAGTTGAATCAGAGAAAAGACATTCAGACAGAAGGATGAGAACAATGTATAATAATCATTTGCATGATGCACTTTGAGAAAGAGAAATGTTTTATCGTGTGTTAACTAACATAAAAAACCTACCGTGTGAAACCAAAACTTGACAACAGGAGCTGTGTAGAAATCATAGAGTGTTGTGATCCAGGAAACACAGCGCACAGTTATAGAGGACATGGTTTCTGACACAGGACCAACACGTTTGTCTTGGAAAGAGAGTCCTTGCTCTGCATCACGACTACCCTGCATGGGTAGAGTAAACCATACAAGTGAGGTGAAATACTATGAAATACTGTAAAATATTAGCCAGTTGAAATTTGAAAGTACTGCACTCCTACTGTACCATGTGATCAGAGCCCTTGGTGCCTGGTGCTGGCTTGACTGAGTCGAGTCCAAACAGCATTGCCTCGTGTGTCTGTGGTACGTGACACATTTCAGCTTTGCTTTTAAACTCCAGAAGTAGGATGGCAGGAGGCAAAAGAAGGCTCAAAATGATCTAAAAAAAAAAAAAAAAAAAAAAAGGAGAGCGTGTCTGACTACTTAAACATCCTCCAACAAAACATACTGCTTTGCAAAATATGAAAAAAATAAAACAACACTTGAGGTAAAAACACAATCGTTTAGCACAACCAGGCTTTAATGGGGGTGATGAAAGCAGCTGGTGATGTGTGAACCAAAAGAAAACAGCAAATAATGGCTGAAGCGCTCCCTAGCTACACTCTACATGACAGGAAGATGTAACAATGAATGAAAATTACCGATGTGGTTTTGGAGTGGAAAAACATGGCTTTAAGTTTGACCCTAGATATCAAATCCCAGACAGAACTTCATTATGTGACAAAATGCTAATTCAAAATCGACAACAGTTAACTGCAGCACCCTACCTCATTTATTGCTAATATGTTTAATCCAGAATACTTTAACAATCCCTAAGGAAATTATGCAAACAGACAATGTCAGAAGTGGGATTCAAACCCACACCTCCAGGGGAGACTGCGACCTGAACGCAGCGCCTTAGACCGCTCGGCCATCCTGACTTCCTGATTAATGGATTCTAAATTAGAATCTGGGACCTGATGAAGGTCAACAGGACTGAAACATTGCAATAAATATATTAGAAATAATGGCAAGCTTTTGCAGAGACAGTCACATTTAATTGCTTTTGTGGAATCTTACAACAATACTGTGCAGGCTCCTGTCAAGTTAACAGGTTAAGTTACTTTTTTGTTAAACTTAAGTGTTAAGCAGTTGTGCTATAAGCACTACTTAATTTCGAATAGTTTTGTGCTTACATTTGACTTGTGCTGTGTCATTATATACAATGCTGTGTCAGCACTATGACATTATAATACTGCTGCTGCTACCAGCTTGTAGCAAGAGATTCAAACTTTGAATTAGCTAGTCAGTCTTCAATGATAGCAGGTAATAGGAAAAGAAAGATGGAACATGCCCTTCATGGACTAAAAATGCTGCATCCTGTGAGCTGCAATTGCTGATAAGACATATTCACTATTTTTTTTCTATAATTCTGCTGAAATATTTTTGTATAATTTTGAAGCTATATCGCCCACCCCTACCCTGTACCCTTCTATCTTTATTTTTCTTTTTGCAGTGATGCAATTAAATGACACTGAAATATGAATTTTATCTGGTTTATCTGCAAGGTTTACCTTCAAGAATGAGTTTTTTCTCATGTTAAGTGGACCGGTCCAGAGATCAGTGAGGAGAGTCTGGGTGCAGGAGTGTGAGACGAATGGTCTGTGACATGAGGAGACAGCCATCTGCAGACAGGTGAAGTGGCTCCATGCCTCCATCTCATAAGTCAACAGCTTCATGGCCATCTGCTCGTTCTGACGAAACGCACAATCTAACACATCCACCGCCAGCTTACCAAACTCACTGACACACAAAGACAGAAGAGATATGTGCATGTCAACTCTGTGATAATTATAAAAATATGAAAGAACAAAAAAAAAATTGCACCCATATCTTCACATATACAAAGTAACATGAAGTCCCGAGGGGAAAAAAAGTGTACTGCATGGTAACGGTGCTTCACAGCTATAAAAGGTTTAGAGGTTTCTTGCATTTCAAATCTTCCAAGAACATTTCAATGAGACTCCAGTCTGGATATTGCCTAGGCTGTTCCATTCAAGGTCAGCTTCAAATTAAACTAAAGTTTCAGACACACCTTATCCTTAATATATCCTTCATAGCTGAATCAATGACTGCAAGCTGCCCAGTTGCTGTGAGACCGAGGCAGTCCCCAAAGCATAACCTTTCCACCACGCTTCAAAGACCGCAAGAAATTCTTCTCCTAAAAATAACTCCATCTTTGATTTGTATGTCCAGAGCACATTATGTCAAACATGTTGCTTCTGTCTCTGTGTTCACTGGGAAACTGTAGTTCTGCCTAATGTTCTTCTTAGACAGCACCTTAAATGCAGGTCAAATATGTCAAAATCTATCCGACTGTAGACGCAGGCACTTTGACACCAGAGTTACCTGCAGTCACTGTGATGACATTTTGAGTTGTTGGAGATTTATTTTTGCATCATGCAGTATACCCTTGAATTTGCTTGGGCAGTCAGTCCTGGATAAATTAGCATTCATTTAAAATTGGTGCCACTGTCTTATACTCGAGTGATTTATTTCAACTAAGTTGGAGACATTTTAAATCCCTTGCTAGACTCACAACACAGGCTTAGAGAGCTACTTAAATCTTAACACGATGACATCACATATTTCAGCAAAAGAGACAAAACCAGAGCTTAGATGGGAATTCAAAAGGTATTCCATTATGTGCCACTTTTTCAGAGTGTATCACTGCTATTAATAAGCAATGGATCACTGCTTGTTTAAAATAAGTCATACAGTTAATTGACACTCACAGTGAATACGTCTTGAATCGTTCTATAATGTTATCATCCAGGCTGCTTTGACGTGCTTCAAAGGCCATGGAGCGGTAAAGCTTGCAGGCCACCGTTGCACGTGCCAGCGCTTCTTCTCCATGTTGCCACAGGAACAGTGCCATTTGCTGCCTTTGCTGAAGGACTGCCCACACAAACAAGTCGTTGAAGTTGAAAGGAACCAGCAGTGGAGCATCATCAAGGCCTGGACTAGACACATCCCCACTGGTACTGGGTGACACATCTTGCTCCTAGAAGAAAAAGTTAGATGTATGAAAAAAAATAAGGGACAAGGAAATGAAAAAACAATAGATGGGAATGTGAGATTTTTTGTCATAAAACAGATAGAAAAATTAGAAACTGTTAATCTAAATCTTAAAAAAATAACTCTAAACCAACCTTGCGTTTGTAAGGCTGGGCGGTCCTAAAGAAATGCAGGTCCTGGAGGCTCCTGTTCCTTGTAGAGCTTGGCATCAGTCCATGTCTGAGTTTAGAAAAGGTGGCTGAACTGTCTCGTCTACCATTCTACAGGCATCAAAACAGGCATTTGTATGAAAACTGTAAAAGTCATTAAACCAAAGGATTTTTAAATGGCTTTTATCAGGGTGCAGCGGGCAAAGAAAAAGAATACAATCATTGCTCACTTTTTCGTGCAATCGGCTGTACGCAGCTCTGAATTGTTTGCGTGTGTAGGTGCTGCGGTATGCTCCTCCTATGAGATATTCTATCACCAAGCCCATGTCAATGATCGAAAGACGATAACCTGCAGGAAGGGATGTCTCCCCACAAACACATACAAACACGATAAATAAACATATACTGTGCACATGTAAATGTGGCTGCTTTTCTGTGTATTTATAACACAGAAAAGGTGAGGGACCACCCAGGTTGCTGTCAGTGCACAGTTCCAAAGCTGGCATTTGCAATTCTATGGAGGAACATTAGTGCACATGGGAAACTTGCACATCTGTAAAGGCCTCTTTAATGCTGAACAGGTCTTGGAGCAACATATGCTGACAATGCTTTTTTTCGGGAGGGAAAGGGAAGCTAGATTTGCACCTACAGCTACTCTCAATATCAAAACTCACCTGTTTTGCATCTTCAACGAGGTGGTGCAAGAAGCGGGCTGTTGGCCCTTGTGCCTGCAGGGAGGATTTTGTATAATTATATAAAAAAAGAAAATGACAGTTAAGAGAAAATGCAAAGCGCAAAATCAAAGCAAACCAAATTTACTAGTTACTTTTAACGGCTGCATAATGCACATGCAATCACAGCTCCACAAATATCAAATTGTTTCTTTAAGGAACTACTTATCCCAGCGTTATGAATAAGTGAAAAGGCTTTTATACACAAATATAAAGACAACATAGAGAAAGCTGAGGGTGAATGTATGGCAAAGAGCTCTGTGATTTTAGAAGCATCCTAAACCAACTACTGGGAAAATATTTTGGATGCAACTGACCATAAAACACAAGAGATCCTGGTGCAAAAACACTTACAGTGACTGAGATTTGGATCAAAGCAGCTTTGGGAATTGTGAGAGAAATTCAAGAGAGACAAACATAAAGGGATTTTGTATGTTTGCACAGCAAAGTGAAAGCCAAACGCAAGAGGAAATACCCCAAGATAATCAAAAGTACTCCAGTGAGTAAATGTTATTTTCTGAAAAATATATTTCACAGAATTAATTGTACTGTTCTCCTTGATTAATAAAATGATGAATAACAAATAAGAAAAAGTAAGTGTCTTAAATATTTAAAGCAGATATATTAAGATATTATAGTAACCATGTTGTAGAGCTCTTCAAGGCGATCGACTGTGAGGAAGCGGCTCATAGTCATGCCGTTATCAATCAGCGTTTTGACAAAACTGACACGGTCCATCACCAGAGCATCCAGCATGGCTTGCTCCAAGGAGCCCACCTACACAAGTAAAAAATAATTTACATATCTCCTTTTTTGCTTTAATGGAAAACAATTGCACTACAGTTTTGCATTAATGACTCCTGTCAATAGAAAATTGTACTTAGTAGTCAGTATAATCTTTTAATAATATAAGTTTACATATGGTAGTGATAGGATGTGCGATCCTTAATAGTCTGCAAAGGCTTTGTGTGCATTCCAGAGTGCTCTGGCATTCACACCCACATCCTGGGAGCATGGGAAAGGTCGTACCTTCTTTTATTTTTTTACGGTAGGATAAAAGTAGCTATGTCAGTTTTAGTCTAAGTGCCTTTTTTACATATAGATGAACTGTTGGATTTCCAGACCAGCAGGTTTAGGGAAGTCATTTATGGGGTCACACTCTGACACACACACGCACACACACATACACCTCCATATTCCAATGTAAGGAACAAACACCCACTGATGTATAAATAAAGACCAGGGCAGTCTCAGAGCGGCGAGTCCCTGAGCCCTCACTCTCGTGCGAGAGCTCAGAGCTACCCTTGCTAAGCAACAAGTAAAACTGTGCGTTTCTCCTCTCTGATTCTCAGCTGAAGAAGTGTTTTAGAATATATCTCTTAACAACTCCCTTTGTTTTTGACTTTCTCACCTGCCAATGCTGTCCATATACAAGGACGTCTTTCTGTGCAATGTCAGCCCTGTCCCACGCCAGAGTCATACTCAGCTGCTCTGATGGACTGGCCTTTGTGCCTGTTTTTGATTCAGAGCAACAAAACATATAACATAACTCAGATTTTCTGACTTACTAAGAGAAACGCTCCAGTCCCACGTTAATGAATCAAAGTCACTTGAGAGAAAATGTTTGATAATTAAGAAGGAAACAAGTACCCTTGAGAGTAGCGGTCAAAATGGCAGCATCTGGTGCCATCTGGTCATCTGACTCTGAGTCAAAGATGGTTATCTGTTGTTCAAAGAAACGCTGATTTAGTAGTCAGTGTCCTCAGTCACAACACACACATGCCTCAGAGGCTGCTTTACTCACAGACTGTCTATGATCCATACACTGCAGCAGGAGAGTATAGAGGTCAGTGGCTTCAGTCCTCTCCATTCCAAACACATCTCCAATCGTGGTGAGGAAGTTCTCTTTAATGTCAGCTTCCAACGGTCTGAAAACAAACAAACAAACATAAAAACACAATCAGTGTACATTTGGGCCGGCTCGACCCTTTCCGTGTGGAATTGCATGTTCTCCCTGCATGGTGCTCTGGCTTCCTCCTACAGTCCAAAGCTTGTTAGGTCATCCACCTAAATTGGCAGTAGGTGTGAATGTGATCGCAAATTGTTGTCTGTCTCTCTGTGCTAGGCCTGCAATATGCTGTTCAACGTGTACCCCCAGGCAACACAATGTTAGCGCTTTTGCTTCACAACAAGAAGGTCCTGAGAAGGTCGCAGAAGGTGGAGTCATGTTCTCACCATGGTTGCGCAGGTTCTCCGGCTTCCTCCCATAGGCTAAAGACATGCAATTAGTGGAGTTGTGTCAATTGGTGATTCTAAATTTCGCACAGGTGTGAATATGAGGGCAAATGGTTGCCTGTTCCTCTATGTTAGTCCTGCATCAGACTGGCGACCTGTCCAGGGTGTACCCCACCTCTCGCCCTATGATAGCTAGGCTTCCGCTCCCCATGAGACTGAATTGGCGAAAGGATAAGTACATGTATGGAAGGATAATGTACATTTGAAACAATTTAATATTTGTAATCCTGTGTCTTTTTGGTAAATGTTAAATGAGTCAAAATAAGAGTCTAACAAACTAATTTATGGGCTTACCAGAGCAGCCTTTTGCTTTTTTGCACTAAGAGGACACTGCTGTCTAGTTTCTACTTTCTATCTCATTTTACAATCAATTAATTGCATCATCATCTTCAAGTTTTTATATACACCTATTGGGTAACCCTTCCTAAAATATAAACGTCACTCAAATGTAGTTAGCAGGACAGGATCATATTAGTAACTGTGTGTTTGGGTTCATCTGAGATGAGGAAAAAACAAAGAATGTGGCTGGGGTCTAACTGCCTTTTCAAATAGTTGGCATATGCGGCTCGGCAGTGGTGTGAGGTATCTGCTAATTGGAAGGTCAGTGGTTCAATCCCTGACTCCCCTAGCCTTCACACTGAAGTATCCTTGAGCAAGATACTGAACTCTGCGATCCATCTACTGGAGTGTGAATGAGGCTTGTTGTAAGGAAAGTACTTTGGAGTGCTCAAATTGAGTAAAAAAGTGCTAAATCTGTTTACAGTTATTCACTCTAATGATATAACGGTAAAGGGGAGATTCTCCCTTTGCCCATTTTTCTCTTTTTCACCTTAAAATATGCCCCAATACTCATGAAGAAGGTGTTATAACTTGCACTTTGCCGTAAGTATAAATTATGCTTGCTTATTAAACCAGCTGGCTCAAAAAGACCCTGCTATGCATCCACTACAGGCCTATAACAGCCTACGTACTGTACCTGTCAACAGCAGTCTGCTTGTGTAAGAAGGCGAGTAGGTCAGCAGCCCTGCCTGATCCCTCAAACACAAACACTGGCACAGGGGGCACAGTGCTGACGTAGTCCAACACTGTAGACACCACAGAAGGACCTCCCTCCACCACCACACACACCACAGGCACTCCTTGGTTCAGTCCTGCAAAAAAGAGAAGAGATGATGTTAAGACTTCAGTCAAATCTGTGTGCTTCCTATTTTGTTTCTTTTGTTAGTTTTTGCACAAAAACACCCACGGGGATGTATCTTCTGTAGTTGTATGTGCTTCTCCAGCTTCCTCCTGAGGCCTTGCTGACAGCCATGCTTGCCCAGCGTTCCATCATCCACCAACAGGAAGTGGGAGTGGAAACCATTGAGACAGGCTCTCTTGCTCAAAGGGTTTCCCAGAGGCTGGTAAGGCCTGAAAACCTGAAGCGATGTTGAATCAGTGTCAGTCAAAGACAAAGAAAAGCAGCGCAGTGGGATATGGTACTCTGCATATATCAAAAAAATGTGGTGAGGAATGAAGTAACGTGCAAAAACACAGTTTCAGTACTGACATCTCTGCCTATAAGGTCCATGTTGTTGTCAATCACTCCCCAGGGTGTGATGCCAACTGTGTTTCTCTTCCTCAGGTCATGGCTTCCAAAGGATTTAACTGCATCACCTACATATTTAGACACACCTGGAGGGCATGCAAATAGTAGCTGAATGCACAGCAAATACACAATAAGAACAAAAGCACTAAAATCCAAGGGGTACTTTTACAACAGCACGCCATACAGAAATGAAACCTAACAGAAACTAACCAAAACTGAACCTTCTAGAAACAGAACACAGATCAACGTAGTTTTTTTTTCAGATGTAAGTAATGAGATTGCTGCCAGTCACTAACTGGAGATAGGCAGAAAATAATACTCCACAAAAAATTGTAAAACTTACCTGTATTAATGCCATCGGTGAAAATCCATGCCCCTGTGCTGAGGGCAGCAGTGATCAGCCCTTTGCTAAAGGCCTGGTTGACTTTAGGTGGCAAGGTAAAATTTTCGGAGCCTCCGTGGACACTCAGCAGTAGCTTGGGTCTTTCCATCTGCCATTCCCTCAACATCAGCTGGAGTAATGCTTCTGGCTTGGAGTCGACAGCAACACGAACATACTGGAAAAACATGAAAGTGTTTCCAACTGAGAAGCTCTTTGTACTTTTCTGAGGTGCTGCTGAGCCGATTGTTTTGTCACTACATTAGATAGCATCTCTGCTTTCATGCATCGCGACCAAGCCTGCTTACATCATAGCAAAGAAAACTTTACGCAACCATCAAAATCTAGGTCTTATTAACAGAGTGCAAGCATTTGCTTCTATATTTGAAGCAGTCTCTTGAGCGTGTGTACATTTACCATTTTACTTTTGAAAAAATGTTCCTTTGGCCTAGAGACACGCACAGAGCTGGTAAACTCACAGACCTTGGCTCGACAGACACGTGTGGCAGTATCTTCAAAGTCTACGGTGCCATAGGCATTTGTGGGACTGGCCCTGGTGTGGCGCTCCATGGACCACTCCTCTTCCACATCCTGTCCAGGACCAGGACAGAGGGACAATGGAGGAAGGGAGTCTTGCCAAGAGTGTTCCCCTATCAGGTGGCCGCAGCAACATCTAGCAAATAGAACGACATTGCATAGATGCATAGGAAGAAGCATCGTAAGGTAATTTTTTAGAATGATTAACTTCAATCATACTTTTACAACACTTTAGCATAATGTTGTTGATTTTAAATAAATTAAATTAAGTAGCTATTTCTGATAGTCTGCTTTTAGATAATAGGGAAGAGCCCAAAAAACAGTAACAAAATTATCAGTGACACTTAACTACATGTTAGCTCCTCAAAATAGAGGCAGGGTTGTTAATAAGCAATAATAATATGCAGGCGCATGACAAGCCCTAAAAGATGAAAGAAATCCACCTGGACTTTTTAAACCAGCCTTCAGTGATTCTTCCATTTATTTTCTAAATCCCACACTTCCTCTCCACCTCCCTTTGCCCTTGAGTACACATTTCTATGTCTGGCTGTTGTTATCATTTAACAGACCATGAAAATCACACATTTCCTGCCATTTCCCCATAACGGTGCAGTGCAAATGTAGGAGAAAAAAGGCAGAAAAGGACATGATGAAATGCTGAAAGAATGAGGGTGGAGAAAACAATACAGAAGTATGTAGTAAGAAAATAAGAAAGAGTTTGGTAGGACAGCATCTTCAGCACAATATTCATCAGTGATACCTTATCAAATTTTGGCAAACGTGGCATACTGGAATACATCTGAAAGAGACAGGAAGCGTTATCAAAATATCCACATGGCTGCTATTCCTGGAAGTAAGGGCTACATGCCAAATAGTTCTGCTCTCAGAAAAATGTTATTTCAAATAGCTGCTGTTAATGTTATACTACAATCTGTGTGTTTCTTCTCAGAATCATAAAAGCTAATCAGTGCAATCAGATCCCAGTTTACCTGTGCTGATCCCAAGAGGAAGGGATGAATTTCACACACTCTCTCCTGAAGAAGGTTTCCTCAATCCAACACTTTCTGGACTAAAAAAAGAAAAGCAGAAAATATTTACTTACAGCACACAGATACTGGAGCTGTTAAGCACTATATTGTCTTCTTTATTGACTCGTATTCTAGGAAGTGGAAGCACATTAGTCCTGAAATAAAAAGCGCGTTTATCAGTGACCTTCTCAGTGAAGCTCATTTTAGTGTCGATCACATGCTGAGCAAACAGTGTAGTAAGTGTAGATCCCTCCCCATCACAGAAAGCTGAAATGCAAACACCAAAACCCTGAGCTGCAGCACTCAGCCCCTCGTTCCCCTTCACAGTAATCTTTCCTTCATGTTTCCCAGGAATATTTAACAATGGCCTCACTGCAGGGAGAGAACTGCTTTCAGGAAACATGAGCACATACACAGACCTATACATCCTCTTCCTCTGATTAGTCTACACGGTTAGCGAAGTAAACAGTTACAACTGTTACAGTTTTATATGCACTAAATAAAACCGCCCATTGTGCAGCAGCAGGACCAACAGTTTAACACGTTGTATGCACAATGAACACCCGTGTTATGTTACTACACTAGTTCATTAAAAGTTTATTACTATTAACCGTTTTATCTAACTTAAAATCACCGCTAAGCGCTGCTAATATCACTGTTAGCAAACCGGTAACAGAGAAATATTGCTCAAATTTCTCATGAGTTCAAGTTCACATTTCGTAAAAAGTACACTTGTTGGAAATAAGCTGACCTACTTAGTACATATATATATATTTATATATAATATTAGCATATATCTTACCATGACTGCAAACTTCATTTATAAACATGTTCGAGGCTAGCAAAGACACTCCGCTTCATCATTACTCTCCCGACAAGGACTGAGCGCCCTTTAATCAGTCGCTGGTCCAAAGGGCAGGTTTCCAGGAAGCCTTGGGGAGTTCATGGCCTCCTCCCTCCAGCTCGGTTAGGAGTTTTTCACCTCCTTAAGTTGTCAAGGAGGTGAAAACTTAAGGAGTGGAGACACCCTTATTGGTTGAGGCAATAAGGGTTTCTCCCCCTCTTTCTCATGAAGGAATGTGGTGACTGGTGAAAGTGGACACTGGTGAGTCAAAAATCTTACTAAAGTGTCGTCAGCTCTGGCTCAAGCAAAGTTTCACACAGCGCAGTGAGGCTCAAAACACCTGCAGTGGCAGTAAAATAAACAGGGTTGTACACTTGGGCAGGACAGAAGAGCAAGTTTTCCATTGCAATAATAATATTAATATTAATAATAACAATAATAATATATGGCAGATGTCTGTCAGATAGATAAATCTTGAGCTACCCCTCTAATATTTATATTTAGCTAGGAAATTTAGAAATAGGTGCAGGTTCAGTTTTATTGAAACGTCCAAACACACAAAGTCAAACTCTCTTAGGCAAACTTTCTTGTAATTTCTTCAAGTAGTCTTCAGAAAGAGTTCTTCAGGGTTCTTGAAGCACATTCAAAGTTGGTCTTTAGGTGTTTCTGCCTTTTGATCTGTTCTCTATCACCAGGATCCCACACTGCTTCAGTATTGTTGAGGTCTGGGGTCTAAGGAGGCCAATCCACGAAAGATAGTGTTCCAGTGTGGGTTTCTTTTCAGGTATATTTATACATGCAAGAATAAACCCACTGCCAATCAGATGCTTTCCAAATGGTGATATGTGGTGAATCAAAATCTGTTGTGCTTTCATACTTGCATTAGTTTTGACAACCTCCACAACACCATTGGCTAAACTGCAGCTCAAAACATGACACAGCCTCGGTCATGTTTTACACCTCTCTCCTGCCCTCCTCTTTGCATTCTCATGGCAATTTCTACGGAAAATTTCAAATTTTGATTTTTCACTCCATTGGACAAAGGATGTAGAAAAAGGAGCAGCAAGACATAAGAAGACCATGAAAAAGATCCATGGACTTAGTGAAGGAGCACGTGCAGGGTTGGTGTGACAGAAGAGGATGCTCTTGATGGGGTCAGATAGAAGCAGATGTTTCACTGTGGTGGCCTCTTGAGGGAGCAGTCAACTGAAGATTCATCACTGCATCAGAGCCATTGCAGCTGATTTTCAGCTCAGTTCTTGTAATTGTGAATACATCAGCCTATGGCTGCACAATTATCCGATGCCCAGTCCACTGTTTTAAATTTAAAACCAAAGTGCTTTATAATGCAGCATCTGACCACCTGCCTGGATACGCCAACCACAGCTGTTCCCTGCACAACTGATGTTTACCAAACAGAAATGGTATGCAAAGAGAGCTGAGGATCAGCTGAATGTTAACACAAAAACCTTAACAGATGTGAAAGCATTTTTATTTTTTTTTTGTTACAGTGCAATAAAAAAAATTTTGTCACTCTTTGAATAATCGTGACAAATAATCATGATTATCATTTTGGCCACAATACTTCAGACCTAATAAAATGTGAATACATGTGGTATGAATGTGTTACAGATGGATCTCCGCTTCCTGTCAAGTATGTGGTGTAGAGGGTGGTCAGCATTATCGTTGATAAAACCATAAATAAAACCAAACAATTAAAAGAAAAGTCACAAATATATATTTTTATTGTCAATGAATACAAAGGCATGTAACAACCAGCTCTAACTGGCAATCAGATGTGTACAAAATGTACAACCAACAATTCAGTCACACAATTTAAAAAGTGCAACCCTACACAACTGGACCAAATTTGTTCTGAAAGGCAACTATTATCTGCAGACCAAGCATACATCTTTAATTAGATCTCTAATTAGTTAGACACATATTTATATAATCCTACTCAACTGTAGGTTTGCAAAGTAAGGACTCAGCATTGAACATGGGAGATCAGTCACTGCTGTTATCAGGCTGTCTAAATGCTGGTCACACAAATCTGCTGGATCTATAAAAGGTTTGAAAAAAGTTCCACTTAGGTCTGTGAAATCTTGCATTAGACTGTTTTCCACTTAAGGGGGAAAAAATAAAATAAATAAAGCCTGTATTGCTCTACAGGGGCAGCCTTGGCAGGTTTCGGTTATCGCATCTCACCTTGATGCATTTCAAGTAACCTGTTCTTGATGCCTCTATTTGCTGAAGAACATCACATTGTCCTCATCATGTTCCCATGCTTTAAACGGGAAGAGGCAGCTTTCAATAGGCCTCGCTGTACTACCAATCATCTTCAAGTCTCCATGGCGTCAGAAGAAGATGCTTTTGACTTGTCTTTTGTTTTTGAGTGGGCGCTTGCATCTTCTAGCAGTGAAAGGTCAAGCTCAGGTAAAGGCACCCTCCAATACTGGAAGGAGTTGTAAGTGCAGTCTTCAGTGTTTGCGTCCTCATCAGCCTGAAAGGGAACAGACAGATAGAAATGTAACGTACAAACGCAACTACGTGGCAACATTTTGTTACCTGCTGACCAATCAGTCCCCTTTTCACTGGTCTATACAGAGTACAGTAAAAACAAGTCTAGAATGTGTAAATGGTGACATCTAGTGGACATTCACTGTAATCACACCAAATTCAGTTGTATTGCATGGTCGCTAAAACTGCAGTGAACATCCCCGACTTCTGTTATATTCTCAATAACTTACTTTATCATTAGATTTGGGAACAGCGGTATCTGGCTCCTCGCTGCCCTCTCGTGGTCGTTTCTGGGAGCTCGTGACTGAAGAGCTGCGACGGTCTTGGAAACTTCCAGACGTCTGCACCGCCGAAACATTTACTGCACGCTTCCTGGCATCGTAGTGTGAAGTCTTGCGATAAGAAGCGGTCTCTTCTTCATCGAAATATTGCGGCCTCTTTCTGCAGCGGGTCCCCAGCAAAGCCAGGAGGGACGGCGGGCTCACGCCCCCGGACGGAGCCATGCTCTCCGCCTGTATGTCAACAGCGCAAAGGGAGCGGAAACACCTCTTGGAGGGAGAGTTGTGCAGCAGAGTGTCCTCGGCGCGCCTCTTTGCCATGCAGTCTGCCGGTACGCCACCGATGTGCACAGAAAACCTGAAATCCCTGTAATTGCTGGATAACACCGAAAGTGCGCAAGAGCGTGTTTAGTGATGCACGATCTCGAAATGATGAGCACCGGTAGTAGAATTATTGCAAAGAACCAATCAGAATAGAGCACTGCTTTCTAGCCCCGCCCAGAGCACCCAGTCTCCAATCACTTAACTCTCATCTACTTCCTGCAATTTACAACACTGCCTGATACTCATTGGTTTGTGTACATCAGGGTTCAGGAAAATATGTGCACTGACACAAAAACACAGACAACACTGGATGAGGAAAGCTAGGCTTTTGACAAAATCCTCCAAGTACTCACATGTGACACCGTTGTTATTTCAGTTACACTGGCTTCCTGTTAAATTTAGAGTCAATTTTAAGATCCTGGTCTTGACCTACAGAGCTGTGCACGGACTGGCACCAGCCTACCTGATCTGCTACAGCCCTATGTCCCTAGCAGGTCTTTGAGGTCATCTGATCAGGGCTTACTTGCTTTAAAAAATACTAAGAGGAGGACTAAGGGTGATAGAGCTGTGGCCCCTAGACTGTGGAACTCTCTCCCCCAAACATTAAGAACTGCGGACTCAGTAGCTGTTTTTTAGAAAAACAACTCAAAACTCACCTTTTTAAAACTGCTTTTGGTTAATTTTTTGCCTGTTAGCTCAATGTATTATTGGTCGAAAACTGACAGAAAAGCCTTTTACATGACAAGTGTCATGTGTGTTGTCGACATATAGAAAGCATGCACCATATTGTTAGTCATTGGTGCTAATTTCAGTCATTATAGAGATGTACTGTTTAAAGGTTGGGGAAACCTGCAGTCAGCTGAACTAAAGAAGTCACTTGGATTAATAACAAAAACCTTTCTCACACTGAAAATGCTACATCGAGATAAACAGAATCAACTTTTTGGGACACTTTATAAAGATTATAAATAGAATGTCACATTTGACCTCTGACCTCTCCTTTAAGGTCAATAGATTGATCTGAAGGTTATAATAGTGCTATATAGAGCTATTTAAAACTATGTTTGACCTCAAATAAGGTCAAACTTTCATTAAAAAAAAATGATTCTTCAAATTCTACTACCTTTGTTTTTATTGGCAACATTCACAAGATGATACTTGTATATAGAGATTCTAGATATCGTCGACCTGTTGTCGTCTTTTCTGTTATGTTGGTGTTAATGTATTTGAAAATGTGTTTAAGTAAAACTGAAGAATCACATTTTTAAAATGTGCGGCTTTATTTCAAAGTGTGATGACAGTCCAAAACAAACAATATAAAAAAAATATTAGATGTAGTTATTGGCACATAAAAGAGAAAAAAAAGGAAAAGCAGGCATTCACATCACATTCTTCTATCACATTCTCCTATCACATGCACACACGGAGCCTAAAAACAAAATGATGGTCTTCGTGGCCAGCAGCTGACACACAAACCACAAACACAAAGTAGCAGCCAATGGTAAGTGATTCATCTCAGACCCAGTATTTTGACTTTTGTTCAGATGGTACAGATCACTTTACTTCATATCACATCACCTTACTTCATATTACATTCCCCATTTTGAGCCACTTCAAGGTCTTGTGGATTCGGGCAGACATTTTTAAAAATATATCTGGCCAAAAGGAAAATGTTCCTTTTCCTTTGTTGTCATATTTCAGCCAAGGATTGTGCTCTTATGCTTTCACTTGGTTTTATCAAATGGACATCTTGTCACGTCGGGCTGTCGGGACCCTCTCGGCGTGGCGACTTAGCAGCCGGTGGAGAGTTTTGTAGCTGGTCTTCGTTTTGACCATTAAAGTACTGCAGCTCTGCAGGCTTCCGCACAACAAAGTAGGCACAGTCGTAAACGTATCTCAGCATCGACCGGTCGTTCTCTGTGTAGGTGGTCTGCATTGACTCCTTCTCCACCTGCGGGAGGAAGTTTAATTTGATTTTACTTCTCGAGCAAGGTTTCGGACAAGCGTATGGCTGAAGCGGTAATATTTAGGTCTTCAGGTTACCTC